TCAATTGAAAATCCCCTGTCACGTGAAGAACCGGGAAAATCTCAGCTTGAACGAGAAAAGACACATGACAGCAACACAGAGATGACACCGATGTTAGAATGATTTGACAGGGGTTTTAAAGTAGCCATTGTAAAACTGTTTCAATGAGCAATTACTAAGACTTGAAACAAATGAAAAGCAGAAAATCTCAGGAAGAAAATACAGAATGTAAAAAAGAAACAAATGGAAATTTTAGAACTGAAAAATACAATAAGTGAAATAAACAACCCAGTGGTTGGGTCAACAGCAGAATGGAGAGGACAGAGGAAAGAATCCGTGAACTTGAAGATAGAATGATAGAAATTACTCAGTCTGAACAACAGAGAGAAAATAGTGGAAAAATATAAACAGAGCTTCAGGGACCTGTGGGACTTCAACAAAAGACCTGTCATTCTTGTTATCAGAATCCCAGAAATAGAGGAGAAAGACAGTGGGGCTGAAAATATATTTGAAGAAATATTGCCTGAATATTTCCTAAATTTGGCAAACAGTAAACCTACAGATTCAAGATGCTCAGTGAAACCCAGACAGATGAATTCAAAGAAATCCATGCTAAGAGACATCACAGTCAAACTTCTGAAAACTAGAGACAGAAAAGCAGCGAGAGAGAAGTGTCACTATATCTATAGTGGAAAATAATTGGAATGACAGTGGACTTCTCATCGGAAACCACGGAGGCCAGAAGCAGTGGCACATTTTTTAAGTGCCGAAGGAAAAAATCCTGTCAGCTCAGAATTTTATATCAAGTGAAAATGTCCTTCACACGATTTGTCGCCAGCAGACTTACCCTAAAGTAATAGTTGGAGAAAGTTCTCCGGACAGAAAGGAAATGACATAGGAATGTGGGCACACCAGGAAGGAAGAACAGACAATGGAAAGAGCAAACATATTGGTAAATTCGGTAGATGTTCCTCCTCTAAATTATGTTTGAAGGTTGAAGCACAGCTGTCTGATGTGGTTCTCAGTGTATGTAGAGGAAATATTTAAGATGATTATGTTATAAATGGGAGAAGACAAAGGGACATAGAGGAAGTTAAGCTTTCTGCACTTTACCATGAACTGGTAAAATGTTGATAATCAGTAGACTGTGGTAAGTTGTGAAAATATAATGTAATACCTAGAGCAACCACTAAAAAAAGTTATACAAGAGAGAAATTCAGAAACTATATTATAGATAAATCAAAATGAAATTCTAAACAATGTTCAAGTAACCCACAAGAAGGCAGAAAAAAGAAAACAGCACAAAATGAGAGAACAAACAGAGAATGGCTTATGTACCATGACCAAGTGGAGTTTATTCCATGGATGCAAGACTGGATCAATATTTGAAAATCATCAGTGTAACTGACCCTGTTAGTAGGATAAAAAAGAAAAGCTACACGATCATATTAAGTGGTACAGAAGAAACCTATGACAAAATTCAATACTCATTATTCATGAAACTCAGAAAACAAACAATAGAGGGGAACTTTCTCAACTAGATAAAGAATATTTAAAGAACCTACAGCTAGCATAATACTTAAATGTGAGACTGAATATTTTTACCTTGAGATCAGAACAAAGCGAAGATCTTTGCTGTCACTATTCCAATTCAACATAGCATTGGAATTTCTAGCCAGATCAATAAGAAAAGGAAATAAAAGCATACAGATCAGAAAGGAAGAAATGAAACTGTCCTTTTTTTAGATGAAATAGTAGTCTACATCGAAAATGCCATAGAATCTACAAAAAGTCTCCTAGAACTAATAAATGAGTTCAACAAGAATGTAGGCTACAAGCTCAATACACAAAAATCAATTGAATTTTTATATAGCAGCAGTTAACACGTGGAAACAGAAATAAAAATATAATATTTAAAAGTGGTCAAAAAATAAAAATAAACTTCAGTGTGAATTTGAGAAGACATATGCAGAACTTTCATCTGGAAAACTACAGAACTGAGGAAAGAAATCAAAGATGATCTAAATAAACTGAGAGATAAATTGTGTTCGTAGATTGGAAAGCTTAACATAATAAAGATACCAGTTCTTTCTAAATTGATGAACAGTTTAAACACAGGTCCTATCAAAGTGCCATCCAGATTTTTGTAGATATGGAAAAGATTATTCTAAATTTATATGGGAAGGCAAAGGAACTAGAATACTAAGACAATTTAGAAAAAAATCGAAATGCTAGGAATCACTCATTGACTTCAAGACAGCACAGTAATCAAGACTGTGTTATTGGCAGAGGGGATAGATACGTAGATCAGTGGCTGATCCCACGTAAGTATAGCCAGTTGATTTTTGACCAAGATGTCAGACTTTCTCAATTCAGCATGGTATGGACAGTCTTCAACATATGGTGCTGGAATAATTGGATACTATTAGCAAAAAAACTTTGATCTCAACTTCACACCTTGTAAAAATATTAACCCAAAATACAAAGTATAAAACTAAAATTTAAAGAAGAAAACAGGAGAAAATTTTTGGAATTAGGATTGATGAAAAGTTCTTGGACATGACTCTGTGATCCATAGAAGAAAAATAATTGATCAGTTGGATTTCATCAAAATTTAAGTTTTGCTTTGTGAAAAACCCTGTTAGGATAAAAAGACAAGTTATAGACTGGGAGAAACTCTTTGCAGCCCATATATCTGACAAATAACTCATATGAAGAATGTATAAGAACACTCAAATCTCCACAGTAAAAGCCTAGACAGTCCTATTAGAAAATGGGCAAAGGACATGAAGAGACATTTTAGTGAAGAGGGTACACAGATGGCGAATAAGCACATGAAAAGATGTTCGGTATCTCTCGCCACCAGGGAAATGCAAATTAAGACCATGACAAGGTATTACGCACCTGTCAGAACAGCTAAAATTACAAAGTCACAATACCAGATGCTGGTGAGGATGTGGAGAACAGAATCTCTCATACCAGCATTGCTGATGGGAATGTAAGAGGTTAGCCACTGTGGAAAATAGTTTTACAGTTTCTTAAAAAAACTAAACATGGTTAAACGTAGAGTTACCATATGACCCAGCAATTCCCTACCCAGGTATGTACGAAAGAGAAAGGAAAACAAATTCACACAAAAACTTGCATGCTAACGTTTATAGTGGCGTTATTCATAATAACCTAAAAGCGGAAACAACCAGTGTCTATCAGCTGATGATTGGATAAGTAAAATGTAGTCTATTTGTACAATGGAATCTTGGTAATAAAAGGGAATAAATTACCTATACATGTTGTAACACGGATGAACCTTGTAAACATGCTAAGTGAGAAAAGCCAGTCACAATAGACCAGGCTGTATTGTATGAATCCATTTATATGAAATAGCCAGAACAGGCAAATTTATATATAGATAAAGCAGATTACTGGTTGTCTAGGGCTGGCTGTGGGAAGTGTCTTACATGGCGTATGAATTATATCTCAATAAAGATTCTCTTTGAACTAAATTTACATTTACCCTATGCCCCAGTAGTCTCACTCTTGGGCATTCATCTAAAGAAATGGATGCTTAGGTTCACGCAAAAACCTGTATATTATTGCCCATAGTAGCATTACTTGTAATAGTAAAAAACTGGAAGGAACCAAAATTTTTTGCAATAGATGAGTGATTAAACAAATTGTAGTGGGCTGGCCCCATGGCGTAGTGGTTAAGTTTGTGCGCTCCGCTCTGACAGCCCAGGATTTACAGTTTCAGATCCCACACCACTTGTCAGCCATGCTGAGGTGGCGAACCACATATAAAATAGAGGAAGATTGGTGCAGATGTTAGCTCAGGACAAGTCTTCCTCACCAAAAAAAAAAAAAAAAAGAAAAAGTAGTATATCTATACTGTGGAATACTACCCAGCAATCAAAAGGAAGTAACTGTTGATACCTGCATTAACTTACTTGGATCTCAGGAGCATTAAGCTCAAGATCTCAGAAGGGCACATACTCTGTGCTCTTATTTATATAACATTCTCAAATGACAGAACAAAAGTTGGGACATGGATGGCTGTAGGGGAGAGCTTAAGAAAAGGTTAGGAAGTTGTAGCCTTTCTTACAAAGTGAGGTGTGGGATGGAGAGGATCAAAAGTTACTGTCAGCAGTTGATGAAGAAAGATACATATATATATTACGTCAAATTACACACACTAACAGATACATTGGGAGAGAGAGGGATCAATAAGAACAGAAAACAAGTAGGTAATGTCCAAAATGTAAATCTGCAGTTGAAGAAGGAAAATGTCGTGTAAGTATATTACTTAAAATTATATTAATTACAGTGATATTATATGAGGAGGAGGAATTGATAGTAGTAGGAAATGAGTAGATAATGTCCCAAATGGGTAAATGAAAATGTTTATATTACATAGAGGTTTGAATGACTTCTGCATCTGTGCTGTCTAATGGCAGCCCTAAGCACATGTGAACGCTTGGAATGTGGCTAGTTCGGGTTGAGAAGTGCTGTGACTATGAAATACACACTGAGGTTCTAAGATGGAAGCATACAAATGGTGACATAGCCCATCAATGTTTTTTACGTTGACTAAAGTGGCATTTTTTTAGGCGTATTGAGTTAAATAAATCATTAAAAGTAATTTCACCTGTTTTTACTTCAGCTAATGTGGCTACTGGAAAATTTACTGTCACACGTGTCTCTTGGACAGCATTGCAATAGAATTGGTTCCCTCTGAGGAGGAGGCTGAGTCTGGGTGAAGTTGGTTAAGGGAGAGTAGTTCTTGAAGCCGTTCTTTGCTATTTGGTTTTTAAAACATGTTAATGAAATTTGATTAAAAAATTACCTCTTTAATAAAGGCTGTGGTCTCTACCTTAAAACATATTAATTTGTCTCATTCTAAATTATGTGGTAAATGTTAACCATAGTAAGGAAGTTTGGAATTAAAAGTAATAATTATCTTGTCCATTGTTTTTCCTTCATTTCAATATCAGAAATAAAGTACTTGTTTTCCTGCTTTTGTTTAGCTTATTGCAGGAGTGACCAGGACATCACCTTCTGGAAGTAATGCCCACAGAAAGCGGGAGTTGTTCAGCTGCTCGCCAGGCAAAACAGAAACGCAAATCTCATAGCCTTTCTATACGAAGAACTAACAGCTCGGAGCAGGAGAGGACGGGCCTGCCAAGAGAAATGTTAGAAGGACAGGTGAGTCAGTGCTTGATCACTGTCTTCTTGTGAAGATGCTGACCGTGTGTGTGATGTTCCAGAAATGGCCAAATATGTACAAGTCTCCAAAGTAGAGAAAAAGTGTGGCTTACCAGAAAACAAAATAAACTCCCCTCCCCATAAACTGATTAAAACTGTCCAATACAACACAGAGATAGAATTCGATTCCCAGGCTAGTGTTTTTACACTACTTAATAAAAAAGTGGGTGTGTCAGATTTTATTCTTCGTATAGGTAAATTGACAGTGCAGTTTTAGGTTTTCCATCTGATAGTTTCAAGAAGAGAATCAGATATAGTTTTAATGATCTCTTTCTGTTCTCTGGAGAGTTTTTAGAATGAGATCTTTTAGTAACTTTCCTTGGCTTTATCCTGTGTCTGCTGTGGTGAGTGTGTCACTTGCTGTTTATTACATTATATGTCTTTCTGATAATTTGATGTTCCCTTTGATTAAATGAACTAATATTTTATTGATCAAGGTAAGCTTTGCTATATTTTTTCTAGTTCCTTTATGATGATGAAAATGTGTTAGTTTTTTTAGAGAAGATTGTGAAGCCTAAATAAAAGTATTTGTTATAAGAAAATAAATTATAGGTATATCTAATACATTTGTATAAGTATGTGTATACATTAAAATGTATATATAGAAATATAAATACCTATAAATTTATAACCATTCCCTTACAATTAGAACTAATTCATCTCCAAATACAGTCACATTCTGAGGTGCTAGGGGTTAGGACTTCAGCATATGAGTTGGACGGGACACAAGTTAGCCCAGAACGCTTAGGAAAGTGAATGCTTGAAAAAGAGCTGTGGGGTGGAACTTCTGTGATGATGGAATGTTCTAGATCTGTGCTATCAGATATGGGAGCTACAGGCTGCATGTGGCTAGTGTGAGGAATTTTTAGAATTTTAATTAACTTCATTAGTCAAATGTGGCTATTGACTACCATATTGGACGGTATAGGTAAAGCATCTAAGATACATTTTTTTAATTGTTAGATTTGCTTACATTTCTAGCAGTGAAAATTTCACAATCTCCTTTGCTGGCATCTTCTAGTTAACTCCTATATGATGAGGTAAATGAGTTCTCTTGGCCTTCTGAGAGTGGGTCATCCTTCATTGTGATGTAGAACAAGTAGGTATTTGCATCTCAGGCTAACCCTTCATGAAGATCATTCAGAATCCTGCAAGCTGAACAGCCTAGCTGCTGCACCATTCGTAGGGCCCTTCTCTTGGTGTCACCAGCATTCTCTGGACTGTACTCACTTGTTGACAAGTACAGTTTACTGGAGTGGCTGATGTAAGTTACCCTGCCTGGTTTAGCAGCAGGAGGACGGTAGTGGTGGCCATGGTGGTTGGTGCAAGCAGTTGGCATGGTAGGTTAGGTGGAGGGATCTAAGAATACAGAGGGCCAGTTACCAGTGGATTTGAGTTGAACAACAGGTCATCATTTTCTAGACAAGGTTACACTAATGCTTTCTTAGTTGTTGGGGTGCAGTATTAAAAAAAAGTGAAGATTAGTGTGAATGAGGCTTTATGGTAATTTTATATGTCTTAGATTCATGAATCTAAAGCATTTTAGGAAGCAGTGCTTAGCGCAGGATGGAAGGTCTGTTCTTGCAGAGGACTGTTAATCTCTGTACCCATGAAGCACTTATTGTAGCCTGAAAAGATGCCTCCTGCATCCGTGTATGGGCTGATGTGATAAAAGGCAAATTCATTTAAAAGCTTTACTGAATCTTAGTAGCTTTTCTGTCATGCGTTTTCTCAAGTGATACCCAAAGTTCAACACCTCTCACTTCAGGGTCTGTGAAGTTGAATGGCACTGGACGGAGAACTTAGATAAGGTTAAAGTAACTTTGCGGGGAGCTCTCTCTCTTGGCTTCACTGCCCTCTAGTGAAAAAGTTCTCATTTCACTGCACTTTTCATTTCTTGATTGTCTTTATTTTATCAAGTGAAGTTAACACTGACATCTCAGCTTTGTCTCCCATTACAGTTACATTTTATATTAAGATGCATTTACTGTTCAGGTAAATGTAACGTTTCAGTTGCTGACTAATGAGGATCTTAATCATTATGGGTGTAGGTGAGTAGGAACTGAAACACGCAAGAGGAGATTTGGCCCTGGTAGGAGGAGTCAGAAAGGCTTCTCACAAGTGACCATGTGAGGAGGGCTGACTAGCTTGGGGATGGGAAGAACATGGCATGGAGGGGGAAGAGGATATGCAAAGGCCACAGGCAGGGCGGTAGTGTGTTAGATATTAACTGTGATGGTTTATTTTACTTTTCATTGTTATTTTAAGTTTTCTTTTTTTTTCATGTTTTTCATTTGTATTTTAGAGGGATGTTGAGAGAGGCTGTATTACCAGTTCCACCAGATTCAGTTTTTAAACAAGTGGCTTCACATATATTTTTAAGTAGATTGTAAAATTTACTTGGAATTCTGTGATTGTTTCAAAACATATTGCTAAAATGCTTATATCATTAGAGATCATTTTGTCTAAACTTTATTTATTTATTTTTCCCCCCAAAACCCCAGTAGATAGTTGTATGTCATAGTTGCACATTCTTCTAGTTGATGTATGTGGGACTCGGCCTCAGCATGGCTGGAGAAGCGGTGCGTCAGTGCACGCCCAGGATCCGAACCCGGGCCGCCAGCAGCAGAGCGCACCCACTTAACCGCTAAGCCACGGGGCCGGCCCAGTGATCATTTTGTCTAAAATTTGTCTTTCTTAGAAGTTAGTCTGAGAAGGAATTTAGTAAACATTGTCTATCTTTTTTATTTGCAACTCATTAAACATCAAAAAGTTTGTGCCTCATATGAATTGAAAAGTCACTTAGAGAGTTACACTGATAGCAGTTCATTCTAACAAATAGAAATATTTGTTAAGAATTTTGTTTGAAAAATCTCTAAGTTCTGGGAGGGACACACAGAAATATTCCATACGCCATGCTCTCAGGAGAGTAGAACATAGATTGGATTGGTCTCCTGCTGTTAGCAGTGTCTGGAAGGTAAGTGCTTTGAACACAGTTGGTGCCCAGGACGCCGCTCACCTCTTTGACCGTACCTAAAAATTCAGCAGATGTTGCTGCTTCTCACTGGCTTCCTGTGAGGTTTAGACGGGACTGGGGACATGCAGAGTGTGTGCAAAGGCATGCAGGCCTGAAGAGCGTGGTACACCTGGAAACTTATGCATTTATGTTTTCCTTTAACTGATGCACATTTTGCTCTTACAGGTGAGATTTTTCATTTTTCCCTCTGCACAACAATCTTAGGTTTTACGTAGAGTTACAGGAAATATCCAGTTTATTTTGCTTGAAGCACAGTGGACATGAGAATTCTATAAAGGCACGTCTTCTATTAGTATATAGCTTATTAAAATTAATTTATAACACCTTATGATAGAACTTAAAGACTGTTTATAATACAATTTCATTTATAACTACCTTCCCTCTCTACAGATTAGGAATTTTTTGAATAAGGTAGGCTTATTTCCTTCCGTGTAAAAGGAAGAATTATGTTATTTTGAAGAAATGCTTGTTCTTGAATCCTATATTATCCTGGGTAACCATTTATACAGTTTAATTTTAGGTTCACCTATAGAAATTTGAAACTTTAAGTCCTTTAAGTGTTTTATGTACAGTCATGCATCACTTAACAACGGGGATACGTTCTGAGAAATGCATCATTAGGCAGTTTCGTTGTGTGGACATCATAGAGTGTACTTATACAAACCTAGGTGGTATAGCCAGTTACACACCTAGGCTATATGGTGCTAACCTTATGGGACCACTGTCGTTTATGTGGTTCGTCATTGATTAAAATGTTATGCGGCACGTGACTTTAAGAAATAAAATATGTAAAGATATAAAATAAGAATTTAAGATAAGTGATAATTCACTTTGGAAAAAGTATATTGGAACTTGATATCAGAGTTTCTCATTCGTTCATTCATTTTAAACAAAATCTTCCTTTTTACAGGATTCTAAACTGCCTTCCTCAGTTCGCAGTACGCTTCTGGAACTTTTTGGACAAATAGAAAGGGAATTTGAAAACCTTTATATTGAAAACTTAGAACGTGAGTATCTCTTGTTTTAATAAACTTTTATAACTTTTCACTTATCTATAGAAATCTTTTGAGAGTCAGATTTGTAGGTAGACATTCACCACCGTATCCGTTTTCTGTTCTGCTGTAACAAACGTAGTGGCTTAGAATAACACGAATGTGTATCTTACAGCTCTGTAGTCGGAAGTCTGGCATGACCCTCACCAGACTGAAATCAAGGTGTTGGCAGAGCTGTGCTTTTTCTGGAGGTGTGAGGGGGAATCTGTCTCCTGCTCCTTTGTGTTGTGCAGATTTCAGTTCCTCGCAGTGTGAGGACAGAGGTCCCATCTTCTCGCTGGCTTTCCCAGTGTCTACAGCTTGCTGTGTTCCTTGGCTCGAAGCTGTTCCTTCTTCTTCCATCTTCCAAGTCGTCAGAGGCGGGTGGAGTCCTACTAGCACATCTCTGACCCACTCCTAAGGACATGTGGGAAGGATGGGCTGTCTGTGTCATGTAGGGTGATCTTCCCATCGAAGTCCTACACCTCAGTCACACCTGCAGGGCCCCTTTGCCACAGAAGTGACATGTTCATAGGTTATCTTTGGGGCGGGCAGTATTTTGCCGACCACATTAGCCGATCCAAATTATGATTTCATGAAAAATAAATGCATCTTATAACTTTTTCTACACAAATTATACTGTAAATTGAGAAAACGTCATTTCATGTTTTTTTTTAAAATATACCATATTTTGAGAGTTTCCTGAAATGTGTGTATTATCTATTTGACTTACTAGTGAAAAGAAAATCAAAAGAATTTTTAATTAGTGTGGCTTTAGTTTTTCTTTTTAAATTTTGTTTTAGAAGCCATGTCTTCCTTTGCTTAAAGAATCAAGCGGCATAAAAAGAGAAGGTATCTACCATCACCCCGTCTGTTGACCATCTCACTCTCTAAAGGAAAACGTTTTCTGCAGTTTTTGCTTTTAGTTCTTCTTGTGATTATTTTTTAAACTTAAGTAATCGCCTTGTTTTTAGCTCTGTCACCTTCGGGCCTGTGTATTCCTGCTTCACTGTAAAATGTTAGGACATGAACCTGACCTTCTTTACCCCTCTCACCACTCCATTCCTTTCCAGTTTTTGTTATTTTTATAGGGTTTGTGTTTATAAAATTTATATTATGCAAGGGTAACCAACTTCATGCTAATTTGATTCCACAAATTGAATACTAATAAACAGTATTTGCATTATTAAAATGTTTTTCACTCTAGAACTAAGTGATGTGTTTAGATCAGTAGTGAAGAGAATGTAATCCTATGTCATTTTATTTATTTATTTATTTTTTTGATGAGGAAGATCAGCCCTGAGCTAACATCCATGCCAATCCTCCTCTTTTTGCTGAGGAAGACTGGCCCTGGGCTAACATCTATGCCCATCTTCCTCCACTTTATATGGGATGCCGCCACAGCGTGGCCTGACAAGCGGTGCGTTGGTGCGCGCCCGGGATCCGAACCCCGGCTGCCAGTAGCGGAGCACGTGCGCTTAACCTCTACGCCACGGGCTGGCCCCCTATGTCATTTTCATATTGGATTTTCCTTATAAGTCCACATTGAAAATTTACAGAGGGAGAAATTATTCCAACGTTTTATAAAATAAAAATTAGGTAGCATGTACTGCATCTGATTTTTAAGTATCAGAGTTGTAACAACCTGTGTATTGTTGAGTTTCCATTGTGATCGAAGGCCTTATGTTTTATGAATTCATGTAGTTTGTTTAAGAAAAACTATGAGGGGCTGGCCCAGTGGCACAGTGGTTGAGTGCTTGAGTTCCCCTTTGGTGGCCCGGGGTTCACGGGTTTGGATCCTGGGCACGGACCTACTCACTACTCATCAAGCCATGCTGAGGTGGCATCCCATATAGAAGAGCTACAACTCTACAACTGTGGTATGCAACTATGTACTGGGGGCTTTGGGGAGAAGAAAGGAAAAAAGAGTAAAACTGGCGACAGATGTTAGCGCAGGGCCAATCTTCCTCAAAAAAAACAAAACAAAAACAAGAGTCCATAATAATTAAAAAAAAAAAGAAAAGAAAAACTATGGGATTACAAATTACTAACGCTAGAGGTACTTGGAGTTTTCGCTGTCAGGTGCCTAAATGTTTTCGGTGGCCTCCTACTGCCTGTGAGATATAGTCGAAATTGCTTAGGTGGGATCTGTTAAGAGCCTTTTGCCTTCACCCTTCTTTCTGACTAATCTCGTTCTGTGCTTTCGCTAAGACCCTTGACCTCATTGTAACCTGAACAGACCCTGTACAGTCGTGGGAGGTGGCGTGGCTCAGTGGCAGGCTCATAGCCTTGGCACCGGGTGGATCTGTGGCTATGCCGGGGTCCAGCTGCGTCACTGCAGTAGCTCGTGTCCTTGGACGAGTCCCTTCCCCTGTCCAGGTCTCTTTCCTCATCCCTACAGGATAGACAAGAGCAGGATAACAGCACTGGTCTCATAGGTCTGCTCCAGAGGGCCTGTTGTGGAAAACAGTGCCCACAGTGTCAGCCTTACTTACCGACTTGCCCCTCAGCTGTGTCTGCTTGTTGTCTTCTGTATAAGTGATGTTCTTCCTTTTTTATTCTTCTCTTTTCCCTGTAACTCTGTACTTCCTATTCATTTTTCATAAATTTCTAATCTTTATTTTATATAATCCTCACTTGTTGCTCTAAGGTGCCATGCAACAATGGTTAGGTTTTTTTTTTTTTAATGTTTTTTCCCCAATGTCAGAGTTGTCAGCTAGACTGTAAATATTTCATTGAGTTTTGGACAGTATCAGAATAATGTTCTTAAATGTATAGAATGAAGTACAAAGGAAATGAACTGTGTTGAAATCTAGGAGCCCTGCTGAGACCCTGATAGCAGAGTGTCTTCTCAGTGTAGGAAGAGCATTGGAGTTTTTATTTTTGGAATGATGTCTTGAATTTTTTGAGAACTTTATAAACTATGATCTTGTTTATTGGAATATTATTCATCTGTTTGTTTAGACAATACTAATATATTATATTTTTATGTGCTCAGGTTTTGAAAGTGGTGAGTATATTTAAACAAAAAAGTACATATTTTATTTTTTTGAAAACAATTTTTTTATTCCTAGTGCGTAGAGAAATCGAGACTCTTAATGAACGTTTGGCTGCTGAAGGACAAGCAGTCGATGGGGCAGAACTGAGTAAGGGCCAACTCAAAACAAAAGGTAAGGTGGAATGCTCATAAGGGTTGCCCCACGAATAACGTATGGAGGAAGTTGGGAATTGAATGAAGGACATGGATTCATTAAATTCACTGCTTTTTGTAGTCAGCAGTACTTGAAATACATAATTCAGATGTGGGTATAGAAGAAAGAAGGAAGCGCCAGGGAGCTGAGGTCCTTGTTCCAGCTCTGCCGTTGTCTCCATGTCAGCATGGACAGACAGACCCTCCAGGGTTTCACTGTCTTCCTGTGTGAAATGAAAGATCGAATTTGATCTCTCTAGTCTTTTCCAGCTCTGAAATTCTGTGGCTCTTTGGTTATATGATTGTATCTGATTGTTGACTCTGTCTCTGCAGCCAGTCACAGTACCAGCCAGCTTTCTCAGAAGCTGAAGACCACTTACAAGGCCTCCACCAGCAAGGTATGCAGGGCGCTGGCGCTCGGGCCAGTCATGTGGTGTTTAAGGTGTGCAGATGTGTACTTTAAGTTGCATATTTTCCAATTAGAAATGTGTAATAGAAAAAGGTAAACTTCTGGTGTTTAGGAAAATTTAACTTTTAATTTTTTTTTTGTGAGGAAGATTGGCCCTGAGCTAACATCTGCCAATCCTCCTCTTTTTGCTGAGGAAGACTGGCCCTGGGCTAACATCCATGCCCATCTTCCTCTACTTTATATGGGACGCCACCACAGCATGGCGTGACAAGCGGTACATTGGTGCGTGCCCAGGGTCCGAGCCCGTGAACCCCGGGCTGCCGCAGTGGAGCGCATGCACTTAACCGCTTGCGCCACCGGGCCGGCCCCAAAAATTTAACTTTTAAAAGGAATATCATTGATACGTTAAATGGCCACAGTGTATAGACACCCAGACGCTAACCTGCCCTAATAATGAGATTAATACCTTATGCATTAGTAAATCTGTTGTCTTTTTTGAGGGAAATACGCTTTGTATTGTTATTTGGCTTGGTATAGAGACTCAGAATTTGGAGAAAGCTAGGCAGTGGGTATAAACCAATGAAAATTCTGTTCTGAGCTGTGGTTCCACATTCATTCAGCCTCCTCTATTCTCTAATTTTCCAAGTATGGCTGAGAAGTAAGGATCTGTCTCCAGGGCAAGTACAGACATTCATGATATTTTGCTTTTTCTTCAAGTGGCAAGGATTTAATTATTTGGGAATTAATTTAGCTATAAGGGAGTGCTACTATGAAGTAATATTTTGAGGTAATTTTATATGAATCTCTACTTTGGGATATTTTGGATATGTAAAAGGCAAATTAATTACCTCATCTTAATGAATGCATTCCTTGTGCTAAGCCTGAGGGAAAAGTTGAAATTTGTGGTGCATCTGCTATGATGTCATAGTTATTGTTAGCTTTCTGTTTTTCTAGTTTGTTCCCTTAAGTTTAAAGTTATTTAGCATGGCATCCAAAGTGAGAGAGATTAATTGCGATTAACAGAGCAGATTCTCTTATTGCTATTTCTGCTTATTTGAAAGATTTTGGTAATTCTTTGTTATTAAAAAAGTCTGAATATTGCTAACATTTTCTTGTGTTTCCTTTGGTAACTCAATGTAAGTGGCTAATTAAAAATTTTTTTTGTTACATATTTTCTAGCTTACAGTTACTAGTTTTGAAGTTTTTAATAAATTAACATTAAACTTTTTCTTCAAAATATAGTGTGAGATTATGTTCTTCCTCATTTAACTTCTCATTATGTTATCTTGAATTATATTGTTTATTCCATTGGTTCCAGGTTATGTATACAATGTATGGTCTTAGAATTCCAAAAGTTTCTAAGCATTTCTGAAGTAGAAGATGAAAGGCTTATATAAAGTTATCCCTTACTATGAGTAGTGAAAAATAAGATTTGGGCAAAGGTAAGGATATGTACAGTAACACTTTGCTTTAAAAAAAATATATTACAGATATTTAAAGCCCCATTCATTTTAGATACTAGAAATTCATCTGAATTTATAAGAAACATATGACTAATGATCCTTAGAGCATTGTGTGCACTAGGTGTACCCACCTTAAAGAATAATAATGAAAATATAAGACATCATCTGAAAGTTGAAGAAATGACCTGGTACTAGAATGTATTCTGATCTGTGCTGCAGCGTGGTAGTAGAGCTAAGCGTGAATACGACGAGGTGGTAGTAAGCTTGAATGCAACATTACTTCCCTCCTGACTCAGCCCAGAAAGGCAAGTAGCATGTGTGGTGAGATAGTGGGAAACCGAAGTGTGTTAAGCAAAGCAGAAGCAAACTGGCAGTGGGCTTACCTTCCTAGGGGCTGATGACGTATCTCTAATGCCTTTTGGGAGGGAGGTGCAACAGTCTAACCAGCAAACCACTTTAAAGACACCTGTGAAAATGTTCATGCGTATTTTTGTGAGGATAAGTATCTTTCACTGTGAAAAAAGCCCTTTCTGATTTTTTAAAGTACTTTAGATTGTATCTCAGGTAGAGTGATAATTAAGATGACAGGCCTAAGTGTCAATTTGTTGCTTCATTCTGCTGCTTTTCTGTCATGAATGTTCCCTCTGAGTAATTCAGTCTCTTGTTGGACCTCTTTGTAATTGTGACTAAGTCAACATTTTTAAGAACAAAAAGAGTTAGTAGGTAGTCAAAGCGTAATGGGCAATTGGAAGCAACACGTGCAATAATTTGTTATAGTATTCGTAAACTGCATATTATCTTCTCCCAAAATTCCGCCAGAAACGTGGTTGGCGTGAGTCTCGCCGTGGTGACCCGCTGTTCTAACTGTTAGAATGGGCTCGGTGAGGAATGTGGCCCCAGTGGTTCATTTCTCATAATAATACTGTGTTAGTAATGGTGAGAGACTTGGAAGTGAAATTTACCACCACTTATTATGGGAGAAAGCTTTGTGTGTTCTTTAATTTCCCTCTCTCCTAAATGTTATGTTACTTAACGTTGGAGTGGCACTTTTTGCCAGCAAAAGCACTTTTCCATGTTGTGGAGGGACAGTTTTGCTAGGTTGAACAGGATATGAGCTTTCAAAAAGAAAGGTGATGATGGTGGGTTGTGGTTGAGCAGGTCCTTTTGTAATTCCTTTTAACTTGAAACAAGTCAAATGGAGCCTGTTTATATTACTGTGAAGGAGTCGGTCTCTTCATAAACATGTTGTTTTATTCTTTCACTGTATAATTTGAATGGAATACCCAAATGGATGTAACAGTGGATTGTATTTTAATGTGTTTATACTAAGAATGCACTTGGATACATTTTCAGGGCTTTGCTAGATCAGTGTTTAAAACAGCTGTATAATACCACCAATTTTTCTTTTTTACTTGATTTTACGGTTTCAGTATTTTGATTAATCTGTATTATTCTGATTTACTTACAAGCTGAAAAGCCATTCTTATATCTGAGAACAATTTAAAAACCCAACTCTGAAGAGTTCTTTGTGTTTAGTGTCTTCCTCATGCTCTTACTATTTTTCCTGTAAGAGAAAGTGAGAGTTGTTTGCTGTGTGTACCATACCAGACGATGCCTCACCATCATGTGCACCTGTGTGGTTCTCCTGTCTGTCCCCATGAGACTGTCTGCTGCCCGAGGCCAGGAGCTGCTGTCGCTCTGCTCTGTGTCCCCTCCTAGCACAGTGCTGGCACTGTGTGCACTCAATAAACAATGTTGGACAAACACAGAAGTGTCGTCTTTTGTTTCCTCCACACCTGGGGCTGTTTTCCTCCTGATAATACGTGGTTAGTATAAATTACCACAAACAGAAAAAAATGAAAGTCCTCCAATAATAAAAGTAATTAGTGCTAAGGGTTTGAGGTATACCTTCCTGACTTTTTCATGTCCTGCCAGCTCTCTCTCTTTTTTTAAAAAAAGAATTTGGAAATTTTGTCGGATAATTAGGACTCAGGAAGAGTAACTTGAAGCTATAAATAGACCCTCCTTCCCTGGGAGGACACGCTTACATGAAGTGTGGGGGAACTTTGAGGGGTCTTCGAGACCTTAGTAAGGTTTTCATTCCTCTTTGTGATATCCAGCTGGGTGAGTTCCAATGTTTGCACTTATGTTGTGTTCCTTTAATATTTTAAAGATTCTAGTCAATGATTTATGCGTTTTCAAGACATCTTTTTCTTACCTTTTTTAACTTAAAAACATTCACTTAGTAAGTTGTCTACAATTCTCATTCCTTTCTGTCACGATTTCAGATCGTCTCCAGCTTCAAGACCACCACGTCGAGGGCTGTGTGCCAGCTTGTGAAGGAGTACATCGGTCACAGGGATGGCATCTGGGATGTCAGTGTGGCGAGGACACAGCCTGTGGTGCTGGGGACTGCATCTGCTGGTGAGTCCAGAACTAGCCCTGCTGCTTGTCAGTATGACTGTGTGACAGCTGGTGCAGCTGTTGGTAGCAGAGTGATCCCTAGTAGCAGACAGACGTGTAGACGAGCAGTCTTGGAAACCAAAGCCCTTAGCCTTGACCCGCTTAGTTCTGACAGCCTCCGTTGGGCCTTGTGCAGTCCGTGAGTGTGGGGTCACATCTGAGTGAGTAAACGCTGGCTCTGTGGGATTCAGCTAGTTGTGTTAAGGAAGCCTATTCGAATGGTAGAGGCAACATAAGGTGGAATGTCTTTTAAACACATTAGGTGCTTTTTTTTTTTTTTTTTTGTGAGGAAGATTAGTCCTGAGCTAACATCTGTTGCCAGTCCTCCTCTTTTTGCTGAGGAAGACGGCCCTGAGCTACCATCTGTGCCCATCTTCCTCCATTTTGTGTGGGACGCTGCCACAGCATGGCTTGATGAGCAGTGCGTAAGTCTGTGCCCGGGATCTGAACCTGCGAACCCTGGGCTGCCAAAGCAGAGCTTGCGAACTTAACCACTGTGCCACCGGGCCGGCCCCACATTAGGTGCTTTTTTGGTTGGCTTTCTTGTTATTTGTAGTCTAACATGCATGTGCTTTGAAAATACGTATCCCATTTTTTTTCCCTGCTTGTAAGGTGCAGCCAAGGGCAGTGCTGTGTGATCTCTGAAATGGCCATGCTGTCTAGGATTTAGGCAGAAGTGGGCCTGCTCGAAGCCCTGCATTTGCCTGTGGGACTCACAGGGCGGGCGTTAGAGAGACGCCTTTTTTCTCATTAAAGATATTTTTTGAAAGCTGTGTAAGGTGCATTAATCTAATAACCCTACAGATAAAAATTGCTAAAATTAAAAATGGTGCTCACTTGTTTAAACTGACTTTTCCAGCTTGTGAGAAGTTAATTACTCACTAGATTCTGCCTTTTAAAGTGGAAACAGGAAATGTTAAACTACTTAGGATAATGAAGAGAGTTCTTTCCCTGTTTAAAACTATGTTCATACGTGAGCACCCTGGATTGTTTTGGAAATACAATTTAAAAAAAGAATAAAGGGGTCCTTTTCTGGTGTTTCTGAAATCTCATTTGGATAGGCATTTATTTTTCAGATTTTCCTATTAAGTCTACTTTTATCTTTTTATTTTTATGCCCATAAGAGGAAAGGTCCAAAGGAATGTTTATTATCTCAAATAATTTGTAACTGGATTTGCATTTGTAACTGCTATTTGCAGTTGAATATTTATTTCATGGTATTCTGAAAAGTCTTAATATTTGAACAAAAGAATGAAGCCATGATGTACGTGATGTTTGTATTCAAGTCTGAAGTGTGGTGCAGTGAGTGTGACAGTGAGCTCGGATCAAGTCCCTGGGTGTCCATTTGCCAGTTCCATGACCTTGGATGAGTCAATGCCTTCTCCCATCTTCTTGGAAACGTTTTGTTTGATCAGTTGAATTACAGCGTAGTATAATTCAGAGTTGCAGTAGGTATTAGTGGTAATGTAACTTCTAATTTTTAGAGTATTTGTCTTCCTCTTGTATTAAAAAGACTGTATAATTAGTGACAGCTCAATCATTCTTGTTTGTTTCGGTTTTGCAGATCACACGGCTTTGCTGTGGAGCATAGAGACAGGGAGGTGCCTCGTCAAGTACACAGGCCACGTGGGTTCAGGTGAGTGTCAGGAGGTCGACCGTCCTCCTGATGGAGGTGTGCTGACTCGGCTGTCGGGACAGCTGGGCATTCTCACAGACGGACAGGCAGACATATGCCTCTGGCTGTGGGAGCTTCGTAAAGGGAAAGCTCAGTTCCCTGGACGGCGTACCAATAGGAGTTGTCTCTGTTTTATTTAGTGTTCCGCAGAAAGCCACACAGACGGTTTTGGAACTGAATCATTTCAGAGGCTGACTTTGAGTGCAGTGATCTGCAAAGGCGTGACTTGGGCCCAGTGAAGGCTGTTGCTGGGCTTCTTGCCTGCAGTTAATGCAGCACCTCTTTCTGCCTTCTCTGTTGTACCTCTGCGTGTACCAGTGTTCCCACCAGATTTCACGTTTCCTGGCCCTTTGTGGTTCCTTCCACCTGGAATGCATCATCTCTAGTCTTGTCAGGCTGCCTTCTAGCTCCCTCGCCCCTTACTACACTTATAGACAAACTCAGAGGTGGTGTCTGCCTCCCGCTTCTAGACTTAGGTTTGCCCCCACCTACAGACTTCATCCGAGCGTCCTCCTGTCGGCCTCAATGCAGGAAGTGTCTGTTGTCCTGTCAGGGCTGTGGACCCAGGCTCTTCCCTTTCTTGGTGCATTACTCCGGTGTCCCTGTTGTCTCCTCTGCCTCTGTCTGTCACCAGGGCGTTCCCCTCAGCGTGTGAGCAAGCTCATGCCTTCCCCACACTGAATATCCTCCCCCCTCGCCTCTCTTCCTCCCCAGCTCATACCCACTGTCTTCCCTCAGCCTGTGTCTGCTCGCTGCTGAGCGCCTGGGGTAGATGGAGTAGGTGCTCAGCAGCATAACCAGACCTTGTTAAATGCATGCGTGCTGTGTTCTTGCTTTCTGCTTCCTCACTTCAGATTTACTCTTTAAAAAACATAAAAAAATTAAGTATATGTATATAGTCTAAAAATTAAGAATGTATTATTATTATTCTGTATAAAAAATTAACAGCAGTCTCCTGCCTCATCTCGCCTCTGTATTTTCACTTCCCAAAAGTCAGCCAGGCAGCCACTTTGAACAGTTTTAAGTAGTCTGTTTTTTTCCTTCCATTTTTCTAATAGTACCTTATTATTTCTTAATTTTTGAGTTTTATTTATTTTTTATTTTTTATTTTTTTTGGTGAAGAAGATTGGCCCTGAGCTAACATCTGTTGCCAATCTTCCTCTTTTTGCTTGAGGAATATTGTCCCTGAGCTAACATCTATGCCCATCTTCCTCTATTTTTTGTATGTGGGTTGCCTCTACAGCATGACTTGATGAGCGGTGTGTAGGTCCATGCTCAGGATCCGAACCCACAAACCCCAGACGGCTGAAGCGGAGCACGTGAACTTAACCGCTATGCCACTGGGTTGACCCCTTAATTTTTGAGTTTTAGACAAAGAAGTGACTCTTAATTAAGGAAAATGAAGATTTACTCACTTGCTACATACATTCTTCTCTTCTTGTCATTGCCAACTAGTTAGAGCATGATTTTTATTTAAATGGATATTCAGGTTTTACTCAATTATGGCTACATCCACATTGTTCATGACTACCTGCATACACACTGTACTTGCAATCTCTTGTGTTTTCTCTGAAGAGAAGAGTTGCCTTGTTTTTCTGTCTGTATCCCTAGTTCATCCTTACACTCTGCTCCATGTGTGACGTTCCTTTTGTGTGATCAGACTCAGCAGGTCGTCTGCCCCTCCACCCGCTCTGGACGGGTTTGATACCCACTTCCTCAGCGCGGCTGCCCTTCGAGTCTCCCTTCTGTCTCCTCCTGGGGTTTCTCTCTGCCTCGATCCTCTGGTACCTCCTCTCTGTCCTGGGTCCCTTTCTTCCTCTCTCTTTAGGAAAGCCTGTCTTTCAGTAGCTTCCTTATAAAAGGTGTCTTAGAGGAAACTTTTTGAGACCTTAAATGTTTGAAAAGTATATTTTACCTTTACACTTGATTGATAATTTGGCTGAGTATAGTCTTCTATATAGGAGATAGTTTTCTTTCAAAAACTCAAAGGTTGTGCTCCTACTTTTTATAGCTTTCAGGGTTGATATTAAAAAGTTTAATGGTGTTTTGAACCTTGATCCTTCCGAGGTGATTGAATGTCTCTCTTGAAGCTTTTAGGATTTTTTTTCTGTAGGCCTGCTTTTTTTTTTTAATTGTTCTGGACATTGGGTGGGACTTTCCAGTCTAGAAATGTATGTGATTCAGTTCTGGGAAATAGTCCTGTGTTTTGGAATTCCTATCAGAATGTTGGTACTCCCAGACTGTTTCTCTTATTTTATTATTTTTTTTCTTTCACTTGCTATCATATTTTTTCTTTATTTCTAGGAGATTTCCTAAACTTTATCCCTCAGCCCATCCACTGAAAAAAACCCTTCATGCTGTCATGTTTTTAATTTCCTATAGTTTTTTCTTTCTCTGAAAGTTCCTTTTTATCATAACATTGTGCAAAATCTTTTCTTACCCCTCTAATTAGTCAAGGAACTGAGCCCGTCTTCGCTTGGGTGAGGAGAGGAAGTGGGGGGGCGGGAGGGTGCCTTCTGGGCCTCTAGCCACTGCTAATGCTGACTGCAGTGCACTCCTGGTCAGCCCCGTACTGGGCTCATTCTGGGCTGACTCGGTAAGCTGTTTATTGCAGCCTGACATAGACACTGAAAAGCACTCAAATCAGAAGTGTGCAGCTCAGATTTTTACAAAGTGGTAAGACCTGAGTGGCCGCCTCCCACTGCGGGTCCTGACTGGGATTGGTCTGTGCTGCGTTTCTCGTCGCTGCCTTGCTGTGTGGCGTTGTTGCTGTGTGGCTGTTGCTGTGTGGCGCTACGGTACTGGGATAGTCTGGTTTATTTGGATCTTTCCAGTTTTATTATTACAGATAATTATAAGTGTGCAGTTGCTATTTGAGTCTTTCGATATATATGCACGCACACAGTCGTTTCAGGGTATCTCAAGGTGGGATTGTCTGGGGTGCTCAGCACTAGCAGAGACCCCCAAACAGTTTCCACGTTGCCTGCTTACACTCCTTCACCTTCCATTATGCCAGCAGTGTGGGGAGTCTGGTTGGTCCATGTTCTCTCCAATGATTGGTGTATGCTGGGTTGTAATTTTAGCTATTCTGGTGCATGTGGAGTGGAATCACCATTATTTTAAATGCCCTGTCTACCCTGAATACTTGAATTTCCTGTGAGATTGCTTATCTGGTCCATTTCTTCTTGGTTTCCAGTCATTTGATCTGTCTCCTAAAATGCCTGGTAACATTTCACCTTTTCTCTTTTCTATAGTTTCTGTTTCTGTTTCCTTTTCTCCATGGTGAGTTTCTTCAGTCCCTCAGGCCGAGGTCGTGTTCCGTTCACCTCCGTGTGCCATCTTCTAGCACGTGCCTCAGCCTGGAGATTTCTCTCACTTTCTTTCTTCACGTGATCTTTTTCTGCCTAGTAGTTTTTATTTTATGAGCTGGCATTATGTATGAAGAATTTGTGTAGGCCTTGCAGGGTGTCCCTTCATCTGGGAAGATTTATTGTCTCCAGAGCAGACAGGGTGTGGGTGCTGACCTGGCTTTAGCGAGGCTGGGTGACAGGAGGTGGACTTCAGGCATCAGGAGTGCTGATGTGTGGGCCTTCCTTCTTCCGAGGGTGCCGTCCTCGAGGGCTTGCCTTCACAGGCCCTCAGCTTCCATCTTGTCTCGCGTCCCTGCTCCTCCGCCCTTCGAGCCTGCCTTCTGAGTGCCCAGTGCAGCCTTTGGCAGTGCCTGGAGGCCCCCTTCTCCTGCTTACCTGTTCTGAGGGATCTGGGTCGTCAGGTCCTACTGCCTCCATGGCCTTAAACTCCCAGTTCGCTCCCACATCTGGAGAGGAGACCGGGAGGGTGTCATCACTGTCCTAACCTGATCCCGACCCTCCCTATGCTGCAGGGCCTACCTTCTTGAGTCCCTGGGGTCTCCTCCTGGAATGGAGCAGACTGAGTTTCTGAAAGGCGGGAAGGAGGGAGGGTGGGCTTATGGCTAGTAACAGTGCCCCCCTCTGTCATCTGCCTCTGCCCGTTGTCATAATTATGTTTTCTTTTTTCATGCTGATTTATTTTTAAATCTAGATGACTTCCCTATCTGTAAAAAGAAATAGATTGTTAATATTCTTTGTGTGTCCTGTTTTAGCAATGTGATAGTTGATAGTTACTTTTTATTGTATCTGTGTTCTCTTTAACTTACACATTTATTCATCGTTTAATTGAATGGGAGGATCTAACGAACTATTATAGTTCTTTTAATTTTTAAATTTAACTTTGCAATACATGCTGTAGGTATAATAAATATTGATGATATGTTTTTGTTATTCTAAATCTGCTTTTGTAATTTTTTATTTTGCAGTAAATTCTATAAAATTTCATCCGTCAGAGCAGTTGGCTCTCACTGGTATGTTGATTTTTTTCTTTATTGAACAAAGTTATTGATAATCTTGAAACAGCCATCATTCTTTTCTTAGCCATAGCATCAGGATTATCCATGCCTTTTACAAAAGTTAGACAATTGTTAGTAGACATTTTATGAATTAAGTGAGAAATGAATAAAACAAAATACTTTGAGTAGTTTGGTTTTTTTAACTGGTAGTGGACTGTGAATTAGATGAACCTGACTTTACGGTGAGATTAAAATCGATTCCTCTTCCTTTAGAAGTCTTTTTGTGAAGCACTTCATTGTTGCCACTCTCCCTGCTCGCACAGTGATGATTCTTGGTGGACTGTAACTCAGTTCTCTGAAGCCTGTCATTCCTGCCCAGTCCTAATCCTATATGCACCTGAAATACGGAAAGGAGAGAAACAGTGGTCCCACGTCACGGCCACCTGCAGATCTAGTTTTTCTTCCTTTCTACGTAGTTCTCCTAAGCTGTGGAAGCTTGGGTTTGTCATAATGTTATGTGGTGGTTTTAAACACACTCCCATTATTGTACTGAGACTTTTTCGTATGAAATTGTCTCTCACATGTAGATCTCTGTCGTGTTTTGGGGACACCCAGGGTAATCTTGAAGGATAAGTGTTTGGATAGACCAGAGGTCAGCAAGCTTTTTCTTGCTGATCAGAAGTAAATATTTTCGTCTTTGAAGGCCACTGGGTCTGTGTCACAACTACTCAGCTCTGTGTTAGCTCGGAAGCAGCAGAGACGGTGCACAGATGAGTGGCTGTGGAGGTGTGCAGTAAACCTCATTTAGAATGGGTGGCTGCCTGGATTGGCCTGTGGGCCAGATTTTCTTGTCTGTGGCGGAGTAGAGCCCAGAAGTAGGGCTAGTTGGGTGCTTTACATGTGACTGGAATCTGGTGGGAAGGCCGGTTTGAGAGTCATCGGCCTCGACCACCCTATCTAGTTGGTACCTTAATGAACGTCGGGGGAGTAAAGGAGGCGAGGAGTTTAAATCTTATTAAATTGGCTGTTTGTTGTGTGATTGGGAAGAGAGAAGATGGAGGGAGACCGGTGACAACCAGAGGTTGGAGAGGAGGGGATGAAATCAAGAGACCTCTCAGAAAGGGGCTGACGGGAACTGAGACAGGTGAAGTAGTAGGACTGGGGAGAGGAGAGATAGGTGGGGTTTGGCTCTGATGCTGATGTGAAGAGAGATTGCAAGTCAGGCAGGAAATTCATCTGACACCGTGTGCTGCCATCTGCGCGTGGCCACTTTGGGGAAGCTCGGCAGCCACGAAGAAAAGGTGGTATTCAGATGGTGATCTTGTAAGGGTGAGTGACACGGCCGTGCCAGCACGTCTGTGGCCCTGTCTGTGCCCTTCAGCTGCCCTCTGTCTTTCTGCTCCCAAGTCCATGCATTGTCTTGCAGACTTGGCTGGTGAAAGTAAGGTCTGAGTACTAACAGATGCCTGGCAGATTGTGAGGTCCATCGAAGTTGAGTAGATGGGAACGTGCGTTTATGTATTACTCACTTTTCTGAAATACCTCAGAATCTCTTTTAGTCACAAGTTATGGTATAATTAGATTTCTGTTTATTTAGGTTAGGTAGATGGAGAATAAAATCTATTTATAAATTTTCTCTGAACCTTCACAACTTTCTACCCTAAAACGAAAGAGGGAATATTTTTATAAGTAATCATCTTAATTTTGCACATTTACTCAGTTCTCAATAGCATTATGCAGTCTCAGAAATAGCTATTTGAGTAAAGACATTCATCTCACTAGTGATCACCAAGTTACAAACAAGTTACAAAGTCTGACGATGCTTGGTCAGAGCCTAGCAAAAGGTGCATTTTATGAATGATGTGTACTTTGGGTAATTTTCCTCCTATTTCTCTCTTCAGCTTCTGGAGATCAGACTGCTCACATTTGGAGATATGCAGTTCAACTGCCGACACCTCAGCCCGTTGCCGACACTAGTGTAAGCAGCACATTTACTTACCCTGAAAACGTGACATGGGGTATGTTGGTAGGGTTCTGGATGTTTGCGAATTTTAGGATAAATTTATAATATCTTATAGACCAAATGTTTGTGTCTCCCCCAAATTCCCACACCGAAGCCCTAATCCAGTGTGGCTGTATTTGGAGATGGGCCTTTAAGGAAGTAATTAAGATTAAATAAGCTCATAAGGGTGGGACCCTGATCCCCTAGGATTAGTGCCCTTAGAAGAAGAGGCCAGAGAGCTCTTGTACACTTTCTTTCCCTGCACGCACCTAGGAAAGGCCATGTAAGGACATAATGAGAAGGTGGCCGTCTATAGGCCAGGAAGAGAGCCCTCACCCAAAACGGAATCTACCACATGTTGATCACCGCCATGTGATCTTGGTGTTTTGTTCTGGCAGCCCCAGTAGACCAAGACAGTGTCTAAGAAGAAACACCTTTTTTTGTATATGCCTATGTTCATTTTTACTTCCCTTTCCACCAATACTGAGCATTTACCATTAATTGTTTTAAATTTTATGATTAGGTTATATTTCATAATATTTTATATATTTGATTTTAGACAACTTGTCTATCTTTCATATAAGAAAAACCATGTAAGTCAGCATGTGTGACATCATTAGTGTCAACATAAAATATATATATACGCAATAAAAGAGGTTGCATATATATATTTTTTTTATTGGGGTTACAATGGTTTATAACATTGTGTAAATTTCAGGTGTATATTATTATATTTTGGCTTCTGTATAGACTGCATCATGTTCACCACCAATAGGCTAGTTTTTATCCGTCACCATACACATGTGCCCGTTTATCCCTTTTACCCTCCCCCGCCCTCTTCCCCTCTGGTAACTACCAATCTGTTCCCCTTATCTATGTGTTTGTTTATCTTCCATTTATGAATGAAATTATACAGTATTTGTCTTTCTCTGACTTATTTTGCTTAGCATAGTACCCTCAAGGTCCATCCATGTTGTTCAAATGGCATGATCTTGTGTTTTTTTATGGCTCAGTAGTACTCCATTGTATATATATATACCACATCTCCTTTATCCATTTATCCGTTGATGGGTGCGTGGGTTGCTTCTAAGTCTTGGCTATTGTGAATGATGCTGCGATGAACATAGAGGTACACGTATGTTTTTGAGTTAGTTTTTTGTGTTCTTTGGATAAATACTCAGTAGTGGAATAGCTGGATGGTATGGTATTTCTATTCTTAATTTTTTGAGTGATCTTCCTACTGTTTTCCATAGTGGCTGTACCAGTTTGTACTCCCACCAGCCGTGTATGCAAGTTCCCTTCTCTCCACATCCTCTCCAACACTTGTTGTTGCCTGTCTTGTTAATTATAGCCATTCTGACGGGAGTGAGGTGCTATCTCATCATTTTGATTTGCATTTCCCTAACAATTAGTGATGTTGAACATCTTTTCATCTGCCTGTTGGCCATCTGTATATCTTCTTTAGAAGAATGTTGGTTCATATCCTCTGCCCATTTTTTTGTTGGGTTGTTTGTTTTTTTGTTGTTGAGTTGCATGAGTTTTTTATATATTATGGAGGTTAACCCCTGGTCAGATATATGATTTGCACTTATTTTCTCCAGATGGTGGGTTGTCTTTTCATTTTGTTCATCGTTTCCTTTGCTGTGCAGAAGCTTTTTAGTCTGATGTAGTCCGACTTGTTTATTTTTTCTTTTGTTTTCTTTGCCTGAGGAGACACGATATTTTAAAAGATACTTCTAAGACCAGTGTCGAAGAGCGTACTGCTTATGTTTTCTTCTAGGAGTTTTATGGTTTCAGGTCTTACATTCAAGTCTTTAATCCATTTTGAGTTAATTTTTGTATATGGTGTAAGATAGTGGTCTACTTTTATTCTTTTGCATGTGGCTGTCCAGTTTTCCCAGCACCGTTTACTGTAGAAACTTTTCCATTGTGTGTTCTTGGTGAGGTTGCGCATTGAGAAGAAGAATGGATCGGTGGATTTAAACCATAAATCCTTCAATTACTGTTTGTCTTCTACTGTTGGATACAGGTGTGCCACTTCAGCCCAACACCCTGTGTTTGTAATCACGCAGAGATCTTAATTATCCTTTGGAGTGAAATGATTGTCTCTTTTCTGTTACAGGGCAGCTTTTTGCTGTCTAGTCTTCACAAATGGTCAGCCCCTTGCCTGTGCTGCTTACGCAGGTAGAAGTACTATGTCAGGCAGAGGAGCTACGTGATTTTACGTGGCCCAGCAAAAATGAGGTTTTGGTGTGCATTTTGGCTGTAATTCTGGGGAGTGTGATGGTAATCTTCTAGTTTTGATATTTCTACCTTTGAATATTTCCTCACTTTTTCTTTTTTTTTTAAACATTGTTTTATTTGGAGAAGGATTAAGCAATTAATAAATTCCTGTGATGAGTAAAAATGAGTTTTCTTTAGTTAAGAAGTTTGAACAGTTCTTTTTTTAATTGAGCACGTTATGTATCTTAACACAGTTTTTCCCTTGTGGAATTACCAAAGTATTTGTTATGTGCTGTGCTTAACACGTACATTCTTCCAGAAACAGTGAGAGCTGATGGAAGACAGGGCAGAGAGATGAGGGTGAGGATTAATGCTCAGAAAGTTCAGAAAATGCGTTAACATTGTGTGGATTTTTTTTTTTCAAATAAAATTTAAAAAGCACCAGTTTTGTCAGAGGGAAGAGATTATGTACAGTACTTACATTGAAAAAACTTAACAGTTTACTGAGAATATTAAATTGACTTTATTTTTTTTATGATTTTGCTTGCATTGGATGCAGGGACTTTTCACGCTTGGTAGTTGCTGCCTCAGGGTTTGGGCGTAACCAGGGGAAGCCCAGTCTGAGTTAGAGGTGAGCCTGCATCATATCATAGTCAGTGACTGGAACGGCTTCAGCAGTTCTGCCAAGGAGGGGTTCTCTGTGGCCTTCCTGAGTGAAGAGGGGATGATGCTCCTCTGCAGTTACCACTCAGTGCCAGCGGTGCTCTCAGAGCCAGAGCCACTTGTTTTCTTAGCTTTTGCTGGCCAGTTTTGACTCTCATTTACCTAGCAGTTCTAGTCCCAGCTTTTGAAATAAACTCTAATCTGTTAAGATCTATTCATTTTGAATCAGTACAGCTTTTGGACAGACGTTTTCTGTTTTTAATTTGGACCAGCGAGTTTTGCTTGGCATCTGCCATGTTGATAAAGACATGCTTAGGTGGTGCAGTAAAGTAAACAACTTTAGATTACCCAGTAAGTCACTGTGTCACACTAGTTGTATGGTATTGAGTCATTAGTTTAATTTAGTGGGGTTAAATTTTTTCCCATTTGAAAATGAAAATTGGAACGAGTTACCCATGGGACTTCCAGTGGCCCTTCCTACATCAGAACACTGTGATTCAGTGATTTGTTGGTTCTGTGGACTGTTAGTGCTCAGTCGATGCTTTGTATTAAGCTGGCAATTCTTGGACATTCTGTTGAAGTGTTGCCCACACTAAAATGATTAAATAGATTAATTATCTCTAAGACATTGGCAGAAACACACAAGAACAATTCTCACCCTTCCATCTCTGCCCTTTGCTGAATTAGGGTTAAAAGAGCTTATAATTATGCTTTAGTATGACTTACTACATTTGCACTTTAAAATGTCTTTTAATTCTTGTGTAGTTGGGAAAGATGACTTCTGTAAATGTTCTGATTCTAACATTTCCAGCGTGGATCCTGATTACTAGGGCTTTTTAAAATGGGAGCTCCAGGCCACTCTTCTGTGTTCCTGGCACCTGAGTTCTCTCCACTGGACTGTTGCAAAACCCACACTACACACACAGTCTCCCCTAAACCTCCTCCAGCTTCCCCTCTGAAGAAATCTCTCCTTGGCATGCCCACTTGTTCCTTCCTTCCCAGATACTTTGCGAATAGCCCATTAGGTTCACTGTTGTAGGTCTGGGGTGTAACTATGATCGAAACTGTCAGAAGGTTTGGGATTATCTTTGACATTTCTTCTTTCGCTCTCCTCCTCCTACATGTCTGCCTAATTCGGGAAATCTTAACTGATTCTGGTTCCTAAATAATTCTTGGGTCCACTTTTCTCTATCCCTGTGATATTCCTTCTGCAGCACCCATGCAGGGGTCTTTGCTGAGAGTCCCCTAGGAGGAGGGAGGACAGGAGCTGCAGCCCCATCTGGCACCCCTCTTCTGCACCTGCCCACAGAGTCACCCAGACTCCCTCACTCGCCCAGGGGGCAGCAAAGGTGCAGGAGGCTCCTCAGGAGCTGAGAAGCCCCGTGGCCTATGAGCCAGTGTCGCCCGAAGGAAAGCCCCGAGCTGCGGTGTCTCCACTGGGAATTTATAGTGAGCATGTTGCTCCTCCCCATCTAGATGCAGTTTGCCAATCAGGGATTCTTTCCCCTTGAGCAGGTTTTTAACTCAATGGGAACAGAGATCCCATCCTCATACCAAAGGGGAGAGTTCTGTTACCGCCTAGCTGTCGTCTCTAGTCCAGATGACCTAGTCTCCTAACCAGTGTCCTTGTCGCAGGTCTGGCTGCTCACATCCAGTCTTTCCTCTATATGACATCAGGAGTGATCTTTCTAGACTCGAACCTGTAACCTCATGAGCCCTTTGCTGACCCTCCGGCCTCAGAGTGTATCACTTCCCCACGGCAACCCAAACCAGATGCACTTGCTGCCCTGAATTTGCCACCTTCTCCTTCCCTGCAGGGCCCCTGCTCAGACTTTTTCCTAGATCGTCCTCCCCCTGCACCACCCCACACTTCTTACCCTGCAGATACCACGCAGTATCGCAGACCACCCGCATTATTTTCAGCATCCTGCACTTAACTTTGTAGTGTTTAGTGTAATTTGAAATAGATACAGTCATGTGCTGCATAATGATGTTTCGGTCAACAATGGACTGCATATACCCCAGTGGTCCCATAAGATTAGTAATATATGGCCCAGGTGTGTAGTAGGCTCTGCCATCTACATTTGTGTAAGTACACTCTATAATGTTCACATGACAATGAAATCGCCTAATGACTCATTTTTTAAAACGTATCCCTGTCATTAAGTGATGCATGACTGTACTGTATGTACATGTGGTGTGTATCCCTATACTGTGTGTGTATACATGTGACATATATCCCTATACTGCGTTTATGTGTACGTGTGAGGTATGTTCCTATGCTGTGTGTGCGCGTGGCATATATCCTTATACTATGTGTGTGTATATATGTGGCGTATATCCCTATACTGTTTGTGTGTGCATGTGGCATATATCCCTACACTGTGTGTGTGTGCATGTGGCATATATCCCTATACTATGTGTATGTGGGCATGTGGCATATCTCTATACTGTGTGTGTGGCATATATCCCTACACTGTGTGTGTGTGCATGTGACATATCTCTATACTGTGTTTGTGGCATATCCCTATACTGTGTGTGTGTGTGCATGTGGCATATATCCTTACACTGTGTGTGCGTATGGCATATCCCTATATTATGTGTGTGTGTATATATGGTGTATGTCCCCATACTATGTGTATGCATGTAGTGTATATCCCTATACTACATGTGTATGCTTGTAGCATATCCCTATACTGTGTGTGCGGTGTATATCCCTACACTATGTGTGTGTGCACATGTGGCATTATCCCTATATTGCATGTGTGTGTGTACACGTGGCATATATCCCTATACTGTGTGTGTGTACGTGTGGCGTATATCCCTGTACTACATGTGTATATGTGTGGCCTACCCCTGTACCATATGCCTGTACGTGTGGTGTATATCCCTATACTATGTGTGTATATGTGGTGTATATCCGTGTACTGTGTGTGTGTGTATATGTGGCATATATGCTTATACTGTATGTGTGTACATGTGGTGTACATCCCTGTACTACATGTGTACCACCATGTGTGTACATGTGATGTATATCCCTATACTATGTGTATATATGTGACGTATATCCCTCTACTCCACGTGTATACATGTGGCATACCCCTGCACCATATGCGTGTACACATGATGTATATCCCTATACTATGTGTGTATATGTGGCATATCCGTATACTGTGTGTGCATATGTGGTGTATATCCCTATACTATGTATGTACCTGTGACATATATCCCTATACTATGTGTGTGTGTGCCTGTGGCATCTCATTGTACTATGTGTGTGTATATGTGGTGTATATTCCTATACTCTGTGTGTTTATGCATGTCGTATATACCTATACTGTGTGTGTACATGTGGCATATATTCCCATGCTAGTTTGTGTGTGTGCGTATCTGTGTCCGTGCACGCCCGATTCTGGGGACTGTCTTCCTTGCTAGCATGTAACCTCCGTGAGGCGGGGACGGGACGTTGGCCCCAGTGCCCTTATCCCCTGGCTTGTACATGGTATGTACGTGTCAGACAGAGATCGTCTCTCCATTTCATGCTATGTGACCGGCCTCTGGTCTGGCACCTGATAAATATTTGTTGAATGAATAGGTAAACATATTTTCTTAAAGACCTGAAGCCTAGGCTGACTGTTGTTTTACTTTTATCCTTGGCTTTTGACAAAAGACTTCATTGATATTGTAGGAAAATGAAGTGATCTCTCATACCTATTGTTTATAACAATAGAATTCTAAGTATATCTTAAGATAAAGAGTTTCCTGAGAATTGAAATGTTTATTTTATTATTGTGTTAAAATATAGATTTTCAGTTATATTTGTTTAGTTTTATTACATTTTTACTAATAAGTGGTGAAAACTTAAAATGTTGAAAATCATTTATTTGCCATTTTGTTGGTTAGTGGAAGTGGACTGTAGCTCATTTGATGTCATAGTGGCCTTAATTTTTTCTTATATCTGGCCCTGGCTTTTAGCCAAGTAGATAATCACAAAGTTGATAAACATTCATTGAGCATCAGTTGTGTACCAGATACTGTGTTACTGTTGGTCATAACGATGATCAAGTCCTAGAAAGACAAGTGACGACAGTCTGTGTAGCCGTGTCAGAAAGACTCAGATTCCCAAGGAACTTCTCCTCTGCTCTCGCCCTCAGCAGCAGATGTGTGGCGAAGACGAAGTGGAGTGCTCGGATAAAGACGAGCCCGATGTAGACGGAGATGTGTCCAGTGACTGTCCTACCATCCGGGTGCCACTCACATCTCTTAAGAGCCACCAGGGAGTGGTCATAGCCGCCGACTGGCTTGTTGGGGGAAAGCAGGCGGTGACGGCCTCCTGGGACAGAACGGCGAATCTGTACGACGTGGAGACGTCGGAGCTTGTTCACTCTCTGACAGGTACCTTCAGCGTTTGCGTCTTCCAGTCATATGCTTCCAGTTTATGTGCATGTGTTTATATCTTACCTTGCAGATTCCTTCTTGTCCAGAGTTATTTTTAGTTCTCTTGGCACACAGGTTGTGATTTTCAGAGATTCTTTCTAATTAATAGAACTGTTGTTAGCTAAATTTATTTCATCTTTAGGGGATTCAGTTGTAGCATATAGTATGTACTTATTTGAAGTATGGTTGGTATGTTAGTTTTCTGTTGCTTTGTAACAAATTTCCACAAACTTAGTGTCTTAAAATAATGTGAATTTATAGCTTGGTTTCCCTGGGTGAGGAGTTTCAGGCACATGCTTGCTGGCCCTCTGCTTAGGGTCTCGGGTGAAATGAAGGTATTGCCTGGGGCTGTGATCTCATCTGAGGTGTGGGGTACTCTTGCTTACTGTTGTTGAAGGAGTCGTTTCCTTGTGGTGTATGACTGAGGTCCCCATTTTCTTGCTAGCTGTCAGCTGGGGATGGCGCGTAGCATCCAGAGGCTGCCCTCAGGTCCTTGTTGGCCCCCTCCAGAGGCATTTCACCACCTGGTTTGCTTTCTTCCAGGCCAGCAGCAGAGCATCTCTGCAGCTTTGAACCTGTCTCCTGGGCAGGCCTGGACCCTTCCAGAGGGCCCATCTGGTTAGGTCTTGCCCACCCAGGGCACTGTCTTTTGATTAACTGAAAGCCACCTGATTTAGGGTCTTTAATTACATTCGCAGAATCTGTTTTGCTTATAATGTACTGTAATTTCCAGACTGATATCTCATCACATTTGCAGGTTCTGCCCAAAGTCAAGGGAAGGTATTATACAGGGTGTCAACACCAAAGATGGGGGTCTCCAGGCCATTTTAGAATTCTGCCCACCACAGGTGTTTTTGCAAATTCATCAGTGAGTGCATTTCCTCAGGATCGTATTTTACTGAGGGCTCCACATATTATGTTATTAGAAATTATTCTGGAAGTGAAGAATTAAGAATTAATTTGTTCACACACACAGCCTGTTAAAAGAGATTTGCCTGACCTTCTAACTGTTACACTCAGGAGGTGGGCCACACTCAGTCCTCGTTGTCCTGCTCTCTTTAAATACATGAGTGAAAGGACTTCTAGCTCCTGAGAGAACTAGACCCACTCTAATTCCTTATTGTTATTACTTACAAATGATCCTTATGTTTACTTTTGCAGTGAATGCAGCAGTGGAACCCGTAAAGATTGTTTTTGATTCTTGTGTTTTTGAAAAGCTTCACTATGACTGTGTGTCTGCAGGTGGATGATCTTGCGTTTTTGTCGTCTTGGTTGTAGGGCATGACCAGGAGCTCACGCACTGTTGCACACACCCCACCCAGCGGCTCGTGGTGACCTCCTCCCGTGACACGACTTTCCGTCTTTGGGATTTCAGGGACCCTTCCATCCACTCCGTGAATGTTTTCCAGGGCCACACGGAGTGAGTTGCAGTCATTTAGCGATCTCTTTTTAACTATTCGTGAAAAAAATTTTGTGGATTGATATTAAAACTTAATTTTTATCTTAATTTTCAGTATTAATTTCCAACTCCACTATCTTTCAAAATGGCTACTCTTTTCCTCAACTTTTAGCTTCATTTTGGAGATTTCAAGGAATTAAGGAGATTAAGAGAAGTCACTGGTATCCTCTTAAGAAACTGGATGGGGACAGAATGGGGCAATTGGGGAGGGGGGATCAGAGAAGAATCAAGAAAAATACTGCGGAGTTGGTAATGCGGTTGTTGTCTGTGGGGAGGGTCAGACTGGAGCTGTTCGCAGCCACTCGAGTCCTCTCTCTCGGATCGTTTTTGTCTTGTTTTGGTATTGCAGTCCTCCCTCAGTATCCGTGGGGGATTGGTTCCAGGGCCCCCCTCGGATACCAAAATCCGAGGATATGCAAGTCCCTGTAGTCGGCCTTCCTGTCTGCAGTTTCCACATCTGAGGATTCAATCAACTTTGGATCAAAAATCCAATAGATGTGGGGTTGGCCTGGTGGCATAGTGGTTAAGTTTGTGAGCTCTGCTTCGGCGGCCCGGGGTTAGCAGATTCAAATCCCAGGCGTGAACCTATGCACTGCTAATCAAGCCATGCTGTGGCAGCAGCCCACATATAAAATAGAAGAAGATGGGCACAGAAGTTAGCAAACATATAAAATAGTGGAAGATGGGCACAGATGTTAGATGGGCTCAGCGACAAAAGGAGGATTGGCAACAGATGTTAGCTCAGGGCTAACCTCACCAGAAAAAACCACCAAAAAAACAATAGATGGAGATATTTGATTCACAGTTTGTTGAATCTGCTGGTGAGGAATCCTTGGACACAGGGGACCGACTGTACAAGTATTTGCAGGATCTGTTTGGGGAGAGGACACACAGACACACTGACCCTAAACCTGCCTCTGCCTTCCCTGCCTGGGAAGCTCAGGCATAATCGAGTCTTAACAGAACTCTCTTTCTTTCTGCAAACTCATTCTTTTCCCAGTCTGGCCTTTCCCAGTAAAGTACCTGGTCATCTTTCCAGTTACTGGACCTGTAGACTTCTGCACTCCCCTGCTGTGCTCTCCCAGCCCACCAGTAGGACTCCTCTCCAGTCGTACCTCCTGAATATATCTTGTCACCTGCTCCCCATGCGACCATTGTCGCTGCACGCTGCCCCTCCAGACCACCCCTGTCTCTTCTGGATGACGGTGTGTGTCCTGCTTGAGCTCCTGCAGGTCCAGAGAAGGTGTTGCATGTAGTCGTGCTCCCTAAACACTTTTTAATGCTTGCTCATTCGGCTGCTCTAAAATACGGATTTCTCTCATTCCGTCCTGTGATGCAGTAAATAAATCTGTTTTTTGTGTTTAACATTAGATATACTAAGTTTTGATTTTATGTTTAAAATTAATAAAATGTTCAAAAAGAAACTAGGACCAAGTTTTTTAAGAAGATTGAGATTGGTAAACAAGTTGGTATCTTGCATCTGAGGTGCACTGAAATGTTGGCAGTAAGAGGCAGCCAGCACGTTCTGAGATCTTCCTGTATGACTGGCTCTGTTGTTCTGAGAGCTTCCGTGTGGGAAATGATTCCATCCTGACGTGAGGGAGTGTTTGTTTCTTCTACCAGCTGGGGTAACCATAGCCCCGTCACAGAGAACCCTTGATTCTCAGTGGTTTGTAAGTGCAGAGTTGTCCCTGACCACAGGGCAGTGGGGCCTGAAGGGCCCTCGTGCTCCCTGTGTCCCCACCCTCTTGTGGGTCTCGTCCTGTTTGTTCCACTCGAGGCCGTGGAGGGGACAACTTCTAACCAGGCTAGCCTGGACGACACAGAGGGGACGACAGAGCGCCCTGGGCAGGCGTGGAGCCGTGGGTGGGCCCAGAGCAGCTGTTCCTCGTCTGCTTTTAGGGCAAGTCGCTCTGGGCCCAGAGGATGGAAAGAACCTTCTGTGGTCACCGATGCTCAAGGTGAGCCAGGATCCCGACCTGCACAGCCTCACTCCAGAGCCTGTGCGTCTCTTCTCCCAAGTTTTTTGTTTTGAAAAGTTTCAGGCATACATAAAAGTTGAAAGAATAGTGCAGCGACTCTCCACTTACCCCTCTCCTAGACTCACCAGTTATTTTCATTTCAGCACATTTGTCTTTTGTCTCTTTATAGATACGTGTACACGTGTAGTGTATGAATATATTATATACACATGTGCTTTCTTTGGCTGAGGCTTTGAAAGGAAGTTGCCCTTGTCATGACCTTTCGCCCCTAAACTCTTTAGCATGCGTCTTTTGAGAATAAGGACATTCTCCTAAATAACTATCGTACTGTTATCCATCTAAGAAAATTTTTAATAATTCTGTAATATTATCTGATATCCAGCTCATATTCAGATTTATCCCTGTTGTCCACAAAATGTCTTTGATACTTTTTTTAGATCTAGGATTTAATCAGGATTGCTTCAATACATTTAGATACTTTGGTCTCTTTTAGTCTAGGACAGACCTCCAGCCATTTTGTTGTTTTTATTTTTTATAATGTTCAATTTTTTTGTGGAGAATCCAAGCCAGTCTCTTGTGGAATGTCCCACATTGTGTATTTTTCTCATGGTTTCCTTTTTGCCAAAAGTTTTTCACGGCCCCTGTTGTGTGCTTTGCGTCCCTGTAGAGCGGATGTGCTGGCAGGTGTCCATTACTGGGGATGCTGACCTGGATCACAGATGGTTTCTCCGGACCTCCCCATTGGGAGGTGTGTTTCCACTTTGGAATCAGTGAAGTGACATTTTGAGACATGTGAAGATCTTATTCCCCAGCAGCCTATCACCCAGAGACAGGTCTGACATCTTCGATGATCCTTGTCTGCATCAGTCATTACGTTGAGTGTTGCAGAAGGGTGAACTTGCTGATTCTGTCATTCTTTCTACGCTCGTCAGCTGGCACTTTATTCATTAGTATCATTGCGGATTAGTACAGATGCAAAGACTTTTCTCATTTTGATGGTTATAAGCCTTTGTTGTTATAATTATTTTTGATGCTTAAGTTTTTCTAGATTTGGCTGTGAGTGCACCGTCCCACAGACTTCTCTCTGTGGACATGACCCTCTCGTCTTTGAGTACTCACTGCCTTCTGGCACCGTAGGAGTCTGTCCCAGACTCACTCTGCGTTTTCCCCACCCCAGCGTGCAAAGTGCCAGCAGTTTTCTTACCAAACTGGCTCACTGATCTATATCATGTGTGGAGAGCAGGGCAGTCTGTACTGGAGAAGTGCCTCTAAGAAGCAGAATGTAAATAGACCACTGCTGTGCTAACTCAAACTTCCTACGCAGCACGGTGGGAGGATGGAGAACCCAGGAGGACTGGGGGTCATGTCTGGAAAGGGAGGCAGAGTGAGGAGAGAATCATCGCAGCTGCTTTTATGGAGTTCTTGGTGTGCGCCAGGCACAGTGACAATGCGGTCTGGCCTGTTTAATCCTCACAGTGAGTCCAGGTGGCCTCAGGCCTGTTGTGGGGAGGTAAACTGAGGCACAGGGAGATGAGGTCACTTCCTGAAGGTTGCCTGGGTTTTGGGTGGGGCTGGACTCTGAGGGTGATCCACAGTGGTCTTGGGATTATTTAAAGAACTTTTTAGTCACGTTCTGTTTTCAGTTACCTTATTTGATTTTGTGTAGGATTTTATTTTTGTTTTGTACAAAAAGAGCCAAGAATTTTTTTGTATTACTGGGAGTTGATGGAAGCACATGTTTTAGCTGTAAGAGTGTTTTAGCAATAGCTTGTTCTTGTCTGTCTCCCTCTGCTTGTGAAATGTAGGAAACTCTGGTGTGGTGTTAAAACATCTGTTTAATTTGTGGTATATTTTTGCAGCTGGTGGATACATGAAATAGAGGTTGTTTTTTGGAGAGACAGACTTATGAGGAATGTAGCTGGTTACGAAGGAGCCTTATTTCTCATGTGGACTTGTGACGCCGTTTCTTAGGTTTGTTTTTTCTGATGGGACCAGGAGCAACTTGGAGTCGACGTGGGGTTGTGTCCGTCCTTGAGGGCCTCTCTCCTCCGGACCTCCTGAGACATGAGTCATGCTGTGTTCACTGTAACAGTGAGGACACGTGACCTTTCAATGAAAAGAGGATACGTGCAAGTCCATTCTTAGTCACAGTGTTGACATTTTCTCTTTTCTTACTTGAGTTAGGGTGAACTGGCATATTTTATTGATGTGTAGATAGAAAAATAAGTTTCAGAAAGTTCTCTCTTGGGCACTAGTTTCCTGTGGTAGGTGCCAGAGAAGGGGAAGTTTCACCTCTTTTAAAGCCTTTGGGAATCATCGGGGATTGGCTGGGGCTGGCTTGTGTTGGAGGCTCGAGTCTCTGCCCCGCTCCCACGGTCATGGCTGCACCTGCACGGCGTGTGGGGAGCCTCCTGCCATGGCCGTGGAGAGGCCCCTGCCTGCCGAGACCGCACCCTGCGTGGTCAGCAGGTGGGGCTGCAGGCCATTCTGTCTGTACTCGACAGTCTTCCTGTGTTACATCAGCAGTAAGCCTCCAGAAATCACTGCAGTTTGGACAGTCAGGAAGTGAGACATTTTACAACGTTTCAGCTGAGGACTCTTCTTAGTGAGTAATTCCTGCTTTTTGTTTCTGGCATGGGTTCTATGGATTTGAGCCCATTTGACAAGCCTACAGATTCCTTTTGCAAATGGATATAAGTGTGTATCTATGCAAAGGTGTGCATTTATTTTATTTTATTTTTAATTTTTTGTTTATTGCAGTAACATTGGTTTATAACATTGTATAAATTTCAGGTGTAGATCATATACTTCTATTTCTGCATGCATTACATCATGTTCTCATGTTCACCACCCAAATACTAATTACAATCCGTCACCACACACATGTGCCTAATTATCCCTTTTGCCCTCCTCCCCCTCCTTTCCCTCTGGTAACCACCAATCCAATCTCTGTCTCTATGTGTTTGTTTGTTCTTGTTA